GGTTCTAGTAACTGTTACTCATTTAACATTCCTGCAAAGACTGAATCTCAGCCACTCCCTTGAGTAGTGGCTTTGAGAGGAATCAGGAAGCCACAAACCTGGCACGAGTCCCACTAGGCCACACACACACAGCAATAGTAGAGAGGCAAGGTGGCGAACACGGACAGGGAAAACAAAGAGAGAAGGCAAGATAGCACAAAGAGGATAGAGAGAGCATGAGACACTCATGATGTAGAGGTCTCAAAAACTCACAAAAATCATGAATCAAATACAACACCGCAAGTGATAGCCAGAAAATGGGCTGAATTACTTGAATAATTTGATTTTTTTTTTTTGTTTTTTTGAGTTTATGTTAAAGTAACAGTAATGTAACCTTTCTTTTGTTTTTGGCCCACAGATGTGAAAAACAGCCGCCCCCCTCTGTATCACTCTGTGTCACCTTTTTCCTTTCCACAGTCAACCCACAACTTTCCTTTGTCCTTGATTGCTTGAGACTATTTTGATGTTGCGGGAAATAACACGATATCTCCCACAAATATACAGAATAATGTTGTTGTTTTTTCTTTTTCTTGTCTCAGGATTATTTTTTTTTTTGATTGTTGCTGAGGAGTCTAGGTCATTGAGCAGTATCATCTCAAACATGTGAAGCTTCACAATGGATGGATGACTTTTCTTGAATAACTGAACAGTTTGATGTCTGGGAGACTGCAGGTTTTGATAAATATATATTTTAACATTGCGAGTATTTGTCAGTAATTCTCTATTCTTTCATATTACACATAATATATATATATGATATTACACAGAAACATTACCCAGATCTGATATTTAGCATTCTCAGTTTGTTTCTTGTAACACTTGCTTCGTATTAAATACCTTGCTGATGCAACATGTAGTAAAAAATGACACCTACTCAGTTTCAACAGGAAACATAAACCTTTAATGGGATTTCACACAAAAAAAAGTGGCAGTGCCAGCGCTGCCTGACAGGTCATAGACAAACTTTAACCATTTCCTGAACAGTGTGTTTAAAAAGACAGAAAATAAACAACTGGGCATATGTGTGTATTTGACGTTGTCATAAAAGTATTTTTCTCTCCAAATAGACAAGCTGGTGTTTAATTTACAAAAAAAAAAAAAGAATTTTTCATTTTACACTTCAGTTGACTTCTTCCTCAAGCAGCACCTCCAGCTTATCCAGCAGCTGTTGTAGTGCAATGTTGTCCTTATATTATTTTCAACTTTCCTAGTTTGGTCCTTACTAGCAGCCACAGATTTGACTGGAAAACATTAAAACCAGTTAAAATTGTTTGTCCTAACAGTGTTATACTGATTTTAACAATAACTGGTTAATATAATTAACCAGTTATTGTTAACACACACTCACTTATCCAAAGGTAAAAAAAAAACATTATTTTATAAATATGCATTGATATAAAAATAAAATAAAAATAAACGTTTTCTTGAACCCTGAATATCATTGCAGTAGCTGTAGACTTATCATTCAACGCTGTTTTTTAAAATCCGCAAATGCTCCATCTACACATCTGAGTGACTAAACGGCACACACGCCTCACATTGATGTAAAAATAAAATAAAAATAGACTCTTTCTTGAATCTCATTACAATAGCTGCCCCGTCAGCAGGCTTCAAACTGTACAAGAGGAACTGTGAACCATGTGCACAGACGACAGCAGACGCTCCATCAGGATACGTACAGTAGTGGCTAAACGAC